GGCTGGGGCACTGGGATCTCTCGAACGGCGCTGAAATGCGGCGGCGAGCCGCGCGTGTCCCGCCGCGGGGCGCGCATACCGGATGATATCGCTGAGCTCCTCAAAGTTCAACATGTTGGTCGCGCCATCGGCATGCTCCTGCTTTCCACGCACGCTGACCTTGGTGCGGACCTGCGAAAGCAACAGGGGGCCGAAATTGCTTCAGCCCGCCCTGCTCAAGGGATGCCAGCCCTGATGCGCGACACGCACCTGGACAGACGAGGGACTCCTGCTACACAACCCGGACCTGGCACTCCGCCTGGCCCCGGAGAGCTGCATGATCGCGGATGTACCCTGCCAGATGGAACAGCGGTCTAAACAATGCAGCTAAACCAGATCCGATACAGGTTATCCCAATGGAGCACAATGGGACGTGCCACAAGGGGTGCCCTGCACAAACAGAGCGATTTTCGATGCCGCAGCTGCTCCGTCAGCATGTGCGTCCGCTTGCCAGGTGGGCCAGCCTTCCTGGCACGGCGCGCCACTATCTGTGGCACCTGGCCCGTGCTGCAATCGTACAACATTTCTGGGCGCCCATGCAAAGTGCCAGCGCCGATCGTAAAGCTATGCGCTGGTGCAGGGCACCGCGGGCTGGGGACCCACCACTCTGACGGGATCCAACCCCTTGAACAGGCCTAGACAGTTACAGCTGGGTTGGCACGGCGGCATACTGAGGGGCGTCGGCCGTCCCACCTGCTGCAATAATCTTGGCGGGCACGTGACTCTCCTTGGTGGCCTCGTGTACAGGGTTTCACTGGGTGATGGTAGGGCAGGTTGTTTTGATTCGTTTTTTGAATCCGGCAAATAAAGGACCAGGCCAACTTCAGGTGGTTACCATAAGCATTCCTGGCCTGGTCACCAGGCAGCTGGCGCCACCCGCATACATCGCCAGCCAGGGACAGTCAACTGAGCGCCACTGACACTGCCTGCACTTCACGAGGCCAGCTGATCAGACCAGCGCACTCCTCACCCTGATGGCTGCAGCAGGCCATGTGTGCTGTTGATGAACAGCAGGGATAGCATGGCTCATGTGCTACGGCATCAAGTTGTTCTGATGAGGGGCCCGCTGCTGGTGACATCGTGACATCTGCTGGCGTCACCCGAACTGGTTCAAGAGCGATCGCATTCGCGCCCCTGGATCTTGCGCAACGCACAGCTCACGTGGGAGGACGACTTTCTTTGATACAATATTCGAACGTAGCGCACCTTGCCGAGAAACGCCATGCCGCGCGGCAAGGGCCACTCGACGCGTCATAGGCTCAGAGGCAATGCCAAAGATCGCTATACGGCCTATGGCAGCGGCCTCGACGACGCAGCGGACGGTGGCCCAAGCACCAGCGGCACCGCGGACGACGCTGCCGCGGCCGCCGCAGACGCAGACAAGCCCCCCTTCCGCCTCGCGATGTGGGACCTGGGGCAGTGCGACAAGAAGCGCTGCACCGGCACGCGCCTCGTGCGGCAGCGCGTCGTCGGCGAGCTGCGGCTGGGGCAGTCCTTCCCGGGCGTTATCCTCAGCCCCAACGGGACGCGGTGCGTGTCGCGGCAGGACGCCGACCTCATGGCCTCCAAGGGCCTCGCCGTCGTCGACTGCTCCTGGAACCGCCTGGACGACGTACCATTCGGTGCGCGCCGCGCGTTACACGCCGCGCGCCGCTTGTCGCGCAAACGGAAGCGGGGCTGCGTCGGGAGCTGCGGGCCAGGCGCCTCTGCACACCGCAAGGCAGCACTCCGGCAGCTGCTGCAGCCCCTCGGGGCGCGAGCGCGGTTTCAGAGCTTCGCCCTCTCAGCCGGTATCTGGCTCTCAAACCCCGCCGCGCGACCAGGGCGCATCAAGGGCGTCGCGCCGCGGCTGCTGCCGTTCTTGGTCGCCGCGAACCCCGTCAACTATGGTAGGCAACATATCCTTTCATGTCCATGGCAGCTGCACTGCCCCCAGCCCCTCACGGCGACCCCTCCAGCCCACCCTCTAGCGGCGGCAGTGACCGCGGGAGCATTGGCGCCGACTCGCGGGGCGAGCAACAGACAAGGGAGAGGCCAGCAGTGAGAGCGCCCGCAGCACCACCGCCCACGTCACATCCCCCTCCCCCCGGCCCCAACCCACTCCGCCCGCCGCGCCGCCGCCGCCGCCCGTCCCCGGCCGCCAGGCCGCCCTTGCAAGCTGTCGTGCGCCGAGGCGCTGGCCGCCGCGTGCTTCATCTGCGGCTTCCAGGAAGCTGCCCGGCAGATCATGAGCCGCTTCAAGTGGGGCCACAGCTTTTTCACAACGAACGCAGAAATTCTGGAGCGCTACGCCGCCTGCGACACGGCTGCTGACGTAATCGCGGCCCAGGTTTGTTGCTGGGTCGCGGGAACGGGCGGTGGCCTCATATCATGCCTGCTGGGGCATGCCTGCTTCCATCGCGCCGGCTGAGGGATTGTTCACATGCCTGTATGACATGTGCCGCGGCCGGCGGC